TTCTCCCTGGAACACAGATATTATCTGGTTTCTTTTATCTGTTGGAGATGGTGGTATGAGGTTATCTATTTTATAATCCTTGAAAATCTGAAGTTGACTCTGAAACTTTGACTATGTACCGGGGATTTTTATTCTCAGAATCTCATTTGTCCTCAACTCCAGCTTTCCCACACAATGTTTGATAATATCATACTCAAAAGTAAAAAGCTAAAAAGCTTTCCCTCTAATGTCGGGAACAAGAAAAGGATGCTCACTTTCACCACTTCTATTCTACATAGTAATGAAAGTCCTGGCCAAAATGATTATTCAAGATCAATAGATAAAATGCATCAAGTTCAGAAAAAAGAAGTGAAATTGTATCTCTTTGGACATGATCTAGTACACAGAATACTCTAAAGAGTCCAAAAAAATTGTTAGAATTAGATGACATGACCTAATATACATACAGAAAACTCTAAAGACTCCAGGAAAACTGTTAGAATTAATAAATGAATTCAGCAAAGTAGTATAATAAAAAAATGTAAAAATCAATTGCATTTCTATTCACCAAAAATAAACTTTCTGAAAGAAAATTAGAAAGCCAATCCCATTTACAGTGTTATCAAAAATAATCAAATGCTTAGGAATAAACTTTACCAAGGAGATGAAAGACACACTGCAAACTAAAAACATTAAGAAATTTAAAAAGACACAAGTAAATGGAAAGACATACTGTCTTCATGGATTGGAAGTCTTAATATTTACACTACTCAAAGCAATCTACAAATTCAATTCAATCTCCATAAACATCCTAATAGTTCTTTCTACGGCAACAACTCTCTCAATAGCAATTCACAGAGCCCTCTTCTCTCAGGGCTCTGCCCAGCCTGCCAACACATCCTTGGGATTCAGAAGTAGCAGTTCTCTTGGTGCCACCCTGGGAACTGCCCTTGGAGGGTTTGGAATAGCAGTTGCAAACTCCAACACTGGCAGTGGCTCCTGCCGTGACTCCCTGACTGGCAGCAGTGACCTTTATAAGACAACATCGAGCAGCTTGACCCCCGTCGAATACAGTTTTTATAATGGCCTTAGCTTTTCCTTCTCTCCTGGACCCGTGGGCATGCCTCTCCCTAGTCAGGGACCAGGACATTCACAGACACCACCTCCTTCCCTCTCTTCATGTGGATCCTCTTCAAGCTTAAACCTTCAAGCAAATAATTTTGTTTATCAGAAGACTCAAGATACAATCAATAAAAGTTTTTGCAGGACTAGACTAGAAACACGGAGAGAAATACTAAATAGTGTGAATTTGTATCATTAGAATTTAATAATGGAACTGTAAAAAGAAATCTTAAATAAATGGGCAAAGGGAAATACTGCATTAAAGAGATAAATGTTTATGGGGGATATAAACTTAAGATAATTCTTGACTTTTTTCAATGCAATTTACTATACTAAAATATTTAGTAATTCAACAAGTATTTATTGATACCTGCTATATACAAATCCCTAAATAAAATATTGTGAAGGATGACACACACCAAAAAAATGAGGAAAATATACTTCATAAATACAGAGAACTTAATATACAGTTAGATTAGACAAAAATAAAGTTGTAAAATATATACATTTACATGTTTCCTTATATATATGTATATATGTATCCATCTGATATTCAAAATAACTGTGCAACTTGTAAAGAAGTGTTCATTTTTATTTAATGTGAGAGAAAATTGAGGCTAAGGGAGGCAAAATGATTTGCACTAAAATCACACAGAAGTAATAAAAGGCTCAACCCAGACTCAACCCTAAGTTAGCTGACACCAAATGCACTGGAATTTGTTGCCTCTATACGTCAAAGTAAAATGCCACAAGTGCCAAAAGGAAGGGATATGCAGTGTTACTTGCATTCCTTCTTGCTGAGGAGATCAGAACAGATTTCATGGAGATATTTGATCTGAGCCTTGAAGGCAACATTTTGACAGGCAGCAATGGGCAGAGAGGAAATTGTACAGTGAGAGAAATCATTTAAAGAGAGCAAAAGGTAAGCAGTTTCCAGGAACTAATGCATACTTAAGGAACAGTGACCAATTCAGTGTGCCTGGATGGAGTACATAAAGAGTAGTGAGTGATAAGGCTGAAAACGTGGCCTGGAGTCAGGTCATGTAGTACCCTGAAAATCTCACAAAGTAATATGCACATTTTTGTCTGCTAATGGAGAATTGTTGAAGGTGTCTGAATAATGATACAATCAGAATCAAGCTTTGAAAAGATTTTTTTTTTTTTTTTTTTTTTTTTGTGACGGAGTTTCGCTCTTGTTACCCAGGCTGGAGTGCAATGGCACGACCTCGGCTCACTGCAACCTCAGCCTCCTGGGTTCAGGCAATTCTCCTGCCTCAGCCTCCTGAGCAGCTGGGATTACAGGCATGCGCCACCATGCCCAGCTAATTTTTTGTATTTTTAGTAGAGACGGGGTTTAACCATGTTGATCAGGATGGTCTCCATCTCTTGACCTTGTGATCCACGTTTTGGCCTCCCAAAGTGCTGGGATTACAGGCTTGAGCCACCGCGCCCGGCCGCTTTGAAGATTCTGGCAGTAAGATGTAGAATACTTTGGAAAAACCGAGTAGTTATGAGGCCAGGGTAATAACACAGATAAGAAATAATGAGGGTCAGATCTATAATAGTGAGAGCAAAAATGGGAAGAAAATAAGAGATAGATGTGAGCAATGTTGAAAATATAGAATCAAAAGATCTCTTCAACTAATTATCTTAGGAAACATAGGGAAAGAAGAAAATTCGTCTGAGTAACTAGAAAGGTAATCTAATTATTTAAAAATAAAAATAAACCAGAACACTTGTAGACAACAAGCTCAGATTTCACTGTGTCCAGTGCTCAGAGATACTTGTCATGAAAGCATGTAGCTGTATAACCTATCCTCCCTGCTGCATCCTGACCCCTATATGCACATCCAGAGGCCATAGTCATTGAAGAATTTAAGCTTTATAAGTCGCCAGGTGTTTGTCTAATAAATAAAGCAAACCATTAAGAAGTATGTGGTCAAAAATGGGGCCATTATTTACTTCAAGGAAAGGCATGTGTTAGGGCAATACTAGCTGCTATGAATAGAAAACCTATCAAATTTCGGCAGCCTAGCACTATGGAACTTATTTTTTCACTCATTTGAGTCTAGTTGCCACTGGCCAGAGAAGGGGGAACTCCATGTAGTCATTCAGGAACCCAGGATTATGAAAATGCTTTCATTTTAGCTTCCAAGTTCATCCTAGTATTATTGCCCATTTGGCAGGAAACAAGAGAGAGAATAAAAAATTTCATAGAAGAGTTCTAGGGACCAAGCCTAAAAATGGTATAGATCACTTCTGCCCACACTTCTTTGGCCAGAATTCAGTCACGTTGCTATAACTTAACTGTGAGAGAGGCTTAGAAATATGGAAATAACCATGAGGCTAAGAAGATAAGGAAATAATTTTGTTAAATGGATAGTTGGCTTCTACCATTAGATCACAATTTCAAAGGCAAAATGTAGGGGCTAAGGATAAGCAAAAAGAACCACAGTCCTCTCTATGAAAACACAAATTACTATTGCCATTGTGGAAAGAAGTGGTCTAACAGGGTACGGAGCATTTGAAAAAATGCTTAAAACTTTTATCTTAAAACTTGGGTTGTGGAAGAGTGTGTGTGTGTGTGTGTGTGTGTGTGCACGCGCGCGTGTGTTAGACCACCCTGTTCATGCCGAGGTGGGTGGATCCACGAGGTCAAGAAATCGAGACCATCCTGGTCAACATGGTGAAACCCCATCTCTACTAAAAATACAAAAAATTAGCTGGGCATAGTGGCCCGTGCCTGTTATCCCAGCTACTCAGGAGGCTGAGGCGGGAGAATTGCCTGAACCCAGGAGGCGGAGGTTGCGGTGAGCCGAGATCGCACCATTGCACTCCAGCCTGGGTAACAAAAGCGAAACCCCATCTCAAAAAAAAAAAAAAAAATAGTTATATCCAAGACCCTCCTCAGAACTATTGAGAATCTCTGAAGAGTGAGGCTCAGGCAAAGATTTTTAAAGTGCTGTCAGTGTTGAGAACTACAGGTCTAAAGCAATAAGGAATAAAACCATGCCTTGAAACAATTCAAAACCAAGAAGCTGATCATATAATATATTTCTTTCCTCTAATCCTAGGAAGAGAAGGAAGCAAGCATCAACTTGGTTTTCATTGTTCTTTATCAATCTTAAGTCGCCCATAGTAGAGCTTAACAAACATCAAATATTGGAAGTTATGCAATGCTACCCAAGCTGAAATTCTCACTACTTAACATTTAGAAAGCTCTTTTAAAATAGCTTTTAAAACAATCCCCCAGCTTAAGTTTGCATAGATGTTCAAGTCAGCTATTTGTTCAACTAACAGAGTCAATAGAATGTATTAGAAAGTACTTTATTAACAAGTTATTATAAAACAATATTCATTTTATGTACTACAAATAAACTTTTTGGTGCAGATAGGAGGAATATTGGAGTGTTTCCCATCTATTTCTAAAATTGCTAGAATTTATTTTCATCAGTACCTTCAATTCTAACATTTAAACAAAGCTTTTTTCTCTAAGAATGCATACATAAAATACTTCCCCTACAACTGTACTCTATCCTTGACAAATCCTTATTAAGAGGTTCAGTAGTAACTGTAGGTATTTACTGTCAGAACAGTTTTTCTTTATTTCTCAGGTTTGGAAATATAACTTCAAGTAAGGAAATTAACTTTTCCCTTTAGAATACATGAATTAATTTAGAGACATCTCAAATCAGCCAATCCTACTCCTTCAGCTCCTTACGTCAGGACTCCATGTCAACCTCAGACCCTTCATTCTTGCCCTGAAGTGTTGCTTCTGTCAGGGTGTCTTCATTTAAATCTTCAATGTCTGCCAGATCAATAGGTGGCAAAGGATTCCTCCAGTACTGGAAGGTATTATACTGCCAAAATTCTTCATTGTGCTTTAGAGAAAAAAAAAAAAAAAAGAGAGAGATGAAAGTAGCTTCGAAAAAATTAACTTTTTTCAGAAAACAGATTTGTTTGAAAAGCAAACTCATATAGGATTTTGTAGTCTTCTATTTTGTATTTTTAACAAATACACATTTTTAATTAAGTCTCATCTAAGTACTTCATGTACTCAATAAAATCTGTGCATTTTAATATTTGTGATTTTTCAAGTATTTAAATTTAAAAGAATTTTCCACAATTTTCTCCCATTTTTCACCGAAAGAAAATTATCTAAAAACAGTCTTAAAATTTTTTATCTTTTAGTGAGAAAAATAAAAATTTATTTTAAAAATACATACACACACTTCTTATAATTTATTTTTGGTCTTGTTCTTAAGGTTCAGTGTTTTAAGAGATTTACTTTACATAGGCCAAAATATTTTGAAACCTTCCAAAAAGTATTAGGCTATAAACAAGATGAATAGCAAGAAAATCTTAAACTGATCATCATTTTACTAAAGATTAAAAAAAAAATCAATGCTCAATAGCACGTGAGCTAGTGGCTACTGTGCTGGACACACAGGTCTGTAAGAAAGTCTCATCAGGAAGTTCATTATCTTCAATGCTGAGCCTTAAATAATTAAGCTTTGGCGCAGTGGCTCATGCCTATAATCCCAGCACTTTGGGAAGCCAAGGTGGGTGGAATCACAAGGTCAAGAGATCGAGACCATCCTGGTCAACATGGTGAAACCCCGTCTCTACTATAATACAAAAAATTAGCTAGTCATTGTGGCGCCTGCCTGTAATCCCAGCTACTCGGGAGGCTGAGGCAGGAGAATTGCCTGAACCCAGAAGGCACAGGTTGCGGGGAGCCGAGATCACGCCATTGCACTCCAGCCTGGGTAACAAGAGCGAAACTCCATCTCAAAAAAAAAAAAAAGAAAAAGAATTAAGTTTGGGGGAATTTTTAATATGGGAATAAACATGTAATAAGTCAAAGAAAAATTTCACTTTAATAAGAAAATGTGGTTAAAAACAAGGTTCTAGTTCTCTGCCTTTTGAAAAATCTACTGTACAAATTATCCACTTATAAACATAGACCAAAAAAAGGTCTTTTAATTCTGTTAGTAAAACCTAGTGACTAAGGGCACAAATTTTGCCACCAGACAGACCTGGCTTTGCAAGATAACTCCACCACCCAGTAACTCTGATCTTGACCTCATCGATAAAATGGAGAACTGTTTTAAAAATTAAGGCTTAGCATAGTAATTGCTAATATTGCTAGGTATTATATCCCAATAAGCCTATGAATCATTAATCACTGTCTCCTTAGTAGAACATTTCTGCTTACTTTCTGTTAAGAATATTTAACAGTGGCTGGGCATGATTACATCTGTAATCCCAGCACTTTGGGATGCAGAAGGATTGCTTGAGCCCCAGAGTTGAACACCTGCCCTAGCAACATAGCAAGACTCTGTCTCAATTTATTAAACAAAACAAACAAAAACTAACAGTAAGAGTCAACACTGACAGAGCAATGAATCTGTATAACGACACTAACATGAAAAAAATATATGAGGCTGGGCGTGGTGACTCATGCTTCTAATCCCAGCACTTTGGGAGGCCGAGGCAGGTGGATCACCTTAGGTCAGGAGTTGGAGACCAGCCTGACCAATATGGTGAAACCCGTCTCTATTTCAAAAGAAAAAAAATAAATGAATATTTAATGAATACCTGATTTTATTTCTCTAGTCAAAAAACATCTGAAACAACTTAGGAAATATCCTCAAGTTCCAGGATAGAAATGATGTAACATTATTCTGCCTAGATTGCATCCTCAATGTAGAAAAAAGGTATTTGAGGTAGTATTTCTTAAATGAGGTCCCAAGGGTGAGGGCTGGGACTTAGCCCTATTCTGAACACAAAAGAAACCAGGCATTTACTGTATTGAATTGTTTACTTCTCTGTTTTTGTTATATTTAATTTTCCCTTGGTAATCAGGTATAAAATCCTTAAAACAAAAAGCCTGTGTCTTTACAGGCAGAAAGGAAAAACGGAAGCTGGAGAGAGCATGTTTGCAAAAGAGAAGTGGCTCCAGAACAAATCTAACAAAAAGAACAAACAGGAGTGTCACTGGGCTTTCCTCAAAAGAAAAGAGGACCTGACGGTGGCTCATGCCTGTAATCCCAGCAATCTGGTAGGCAGAAGCAGGAAGATCCCTTGAGCCCAGCCTGAATAACATGGTGAAACTCCATCCTTACAGGAAAAAAAAAAACAAAAAATAAACAGTCCAGCATGGCAGTGTGTGCCTGTAGTCCCAACTATTCAGGAGTCTAAGGCTGCAGTGACCCAAGATCATGCCACTGCACTCCAACCTGGGCATAGGAGCAACCCCTCCCCCCCAAGACCCTTTAAAAAACAAAACAAAACAAGAGACAGGGGGACTAGTCGTGGTGAAGAAGGAACTCCTGGAGCCATCCTTTTTCTGTGTCATGTACTTGCAGCGACTATAGGAAATAGAGAGCTATCAGATCTAGTCATTGCTGTGGGAGAAGAGACAGTTGAGTCTAAGACTCTAAGCAAGCATCATCATGTCAGACTACTAGAGAACCCTCACCTTTGCCTACTGTCATTTCCATATTTCCCTCTTATCAACTATGTGGCATACCGTAGTCAGTGTATTCTGGTAGGAAAGACAAGCCTATGCATGGGTGGAGTACTAAAAACATTCTGAAGAGCTTTCAAAAAGTTTTCAAACTACACAGCCCCTAATCTCCATATCCAATAGGTTTAGAAGACTATTTTCAGTTGATTTTAAATATCTGAGAGCAATCTGAAGAAAAAGTTTAAATAAGGCTCATGTTTCAATCATAGGCCAAAAAAAAAAATCTTTCTCAACTATAAAACTCTCATTGTTTTATTGGATTTTTCACAAGAACAAGTCATGTCTAAGAACTTTCATTTATTATTTTTTTTGGAAAGGCATTTGAAAACTCTGACATAAGATACTTAAGAAAATTTAAAAAAAACAAACAAAAATACAAAAAACGTTGGGTGGATGCTATCAGATAGTAGCTGAAGATAATTTGGGGAATTCTGAGAAACCTGTACTTGGTTCTTCATCTCCCAAGTCCCCAGGTAAGTCATTCCAGGACTGTGAAAAACCAGTATGAATTCCTAAGTCTAGACCAAAGCTGTCCAATAAACATACAATACTCCAAAAACATAATTTAAAATTTAAAAAGTAAAAGAAACTTCTGGTATTAATTTTAATATATTTTCTTCAATACATCCAAGTTATTTCATGTGTAATCTATTTAAAATTTTGAGCTATTTTATCTTTCTGTATTTCTTATTAAATCCACGAAATTTCGTGTATACTTTATACTTAGAGCAAATTTCCATTTGAACTAGTCATGTTTCAAGTGTTCTTACTGGCTAAAGGCTGGGCAACAGAGATCTACACAAATCCAGGCATGCCTAGATTGTCTCAAGATTCTTAGGTGCAGAGATGAGGCAGGCTCATTTCTTGAATGGGAACCCCCCACACACAATGATTCTCATATACACCTTACCTTAAGGCCCAAATTAATTTTTTCTTTTTTGAGAGCGAGTCTCACTCTGTTGCCCAGGCTGGAGTGCAGTGGCCCCATCTCAGCTCACTGCAACCTCCACCTCTCAGGTTAAAGCGATTATAATGCCTCAGCCTCCCGAGTAGCTGCGATTACAGGCATGCACCACCACACACGCAGGTAATTTTGTATTTTTAGTAGAGACTGGGGTTTCACCCTGTTGGCTAGGCTGGTCTCGAACTCCCGACCTTAGGTGATCTGCCCGCCGTGGCCTTCCCAAAGTGCTGGGATTACAGGCGTGAGACACCACGCCCCGCCCCAAGTTAGTTTTCAACAATACTTTTGCCTAGGATCAGATAACACCATGAGTTAAAAAAAGCTTTGCCTAAGTTATGGCGGTCCATTCTTTTGCCCAGAAGAGCTGTAACAGCCTGTAGGACGTCCTATTAACTGAGGGCTACTACACTCCTCTCCGTCTAGAAAAAGAATTCTATCCCGAGTTCTAGACTAATCACCGTTAAACCCAAGAAGGCCCGCTACTCCTTTGACTGTCGTTTGTCGTTCGGCTGAACCTATCTTTTCACAGTCAGCATCCGCACTAAGCTCACAGCCTGCCACGACCCACGGTCCCGTTTCTCTTACAGAGCGCGGCGCTGACGCCGCAAGGCCACTTCTACTGCTCCCGACCACAGTCCGTTTCCCTCTAGAGCAGCCCAGTGCTTTCTGCCCTTCGGAATCCCGGGGCGTGTCTCCTGGGGGTCGGCGTCCTCTCTCGGAGCGGTGACCTTTTCTTTTCGCCTCTGCAGGCGTTTTAACCAATACAAGTCATGAGTAGGACCCGGGGTGCTCTGAGTGTGGGGGAGAAAGGGCGAGCCCCTTAGCCCCTCAGCCCACCTGCCCCCCAGCCCCTACCTGGCGCGGTGCGACCCCCCAGTCTCCCCGCTGGGGCCCTGCGCGCCCCGCCCCGTCGTCGCCACCGCCCCTCAGGGGCCGGTCGCCCTGGAGCTCCTCCCCTGGCCCCCGCCCTACAGGCAGCGGCGGCGGCGGCGGCGGCAGCAGCAGCGGTGGCTCGCCGGTCTCCAGGCCTCGGTCCTCTTGCTCCTGGCCGCCCGGGGCGCTGTTGTCCCCGCTGTCGCGGCGCTTGCTGGGCGATGCCGAGGGCTCTGCCATGGTCCCTGCGTCGATTTTGCGCTTTCGGTGCTGTTCGGGTACGCCGAAAGGCTGCCCAGGATGCGCGGCCCCGGGCTGCCGGATCCAGAGAGGCGGTGGCGGCGGCGGCTGCTCAGGGAAGTCGCAGAGCAGGAGCCGCTTCCAAGGCACGTGGAACGTCAGCGGCTCGGCCGCACGCCGCTTGGCCATGGGCCCAGAGGCTCGGGCGGAGCCCGCCAGGCGCGGGAGACCGATCGCCGATAGCTGTGGGGGCGAAGAGCGAGGACTGAGCGCGTGAGGGAGGGACAGGCCGAAGTCGGGCGAGGAGGCGACAGGACGCTGAAGGGGGCGGGGCAGCTCGTGCACCGGCTAGGGTTGGGGCTCCGGCCGGGAGGTAGCTCGCGCGCTCAGCCCTTGCCGCCGCAGAGATACTGCCCGGACGTTGAGAAGCAACCGCGAAACGGCGGAGATTCGAACCTGCGCACAACGTGCGCGCGCGCACTCTCCTGCCAGGAGGAGCCGCTGGTTGGTGGCTTGCGGGGCGCGCTCCCCAGCGTCCTCGCGACCGGAAGTGCTCGCCCGGAGGTAGGCGGGAAGGCGGCGGCGGGCTTAAAGACCCGATCTGGCGGCCCGCAGAGGGGGCGTGACCTTGTTTCCTCAAGGGCGTGATGGTGGTCTTACTACTACGTTCGGCGTAGCGCGGTACCTTGTACACACTTCTATAGGAAATTTAAGTCCTTTAAAATGTGTATTTCCCTCCTCCAGTCATTGAGGACAGGGGTGCGCCACCATGAAATTAAGACAAAGATAATACAATTCCAGACTATTCTGGGCAACATAGCAAGACCTCGTCTCTACACAAAAATTAGGACAGGCTTGGTGGCCTGCCCCTGTGGTCCCAGCTACTTGGGAGGCTGGGGAGGAAGATTCAGTTGAGCCCGGGAGGGGGAGGCTGCAGTGAGCCAATATAGCACTACTACACTCAAGCCTGGGCGACAGAGCGAGACTACGTCTCAAAAAAAGAAAGGATAATACAAACTCAATAAACTAGTGTTTAAAAGACTTTACAATAGGTTATTATACAAATGACTGAAGGGGAGTCCAGGCTAAGTAGCAAAAGCTAACATAAAACACACACACCACACATCGAAGTGTATGTTTTGCGCAGCTGCTGTGGAAGGTGAAGGAGGCACCACATTCCTGGAAGATCTCTTGATTAAAAACTTACGGAGGAAGTTATGGACAAGATGTGCAGCTCATCCAAAATAGCTGGGTAGTTGGCAAGAACCAAGCCTGAAGCACACAGCTCCTGTCCTTTCCAGCTGAAACCTAAAATTGTTGGGCTCTTAAATTAGGTTGGAAGCCTGAGTTCCCTGCTTACTCCGGACGATGGTCTGATCAAGATTCCAAGACCATAACAGCAAAATAGTGTTGTCAGGTGAAGTGATGTGGAGACAACCACAGTGTATTTACTGTTTTATTATTATTATTTATTATTTTTGAGACAGTATCTCTCTCGGTAGCTGAGGCAGGAGTGCAGTGGTGCCATCACGGCTCACTGCAGCCTGCCCCCACTGGGCTCAAGTGATCCTCCCGCCTGGGCCTCCCAAAGTGCTTCCTTTACAGGTGTGAGCCACCGCACCTGGCCATATTTGCTATTTTAATAGTTTGATAAAGACAGTAACCAAGCAAGCAAAAGTGGAAGGCAGAAAAGTCTGTATTATCAGTGCTTTGAAGGGAGAAACTACTATTATTCTCCGTAGAAAAAGTGTGCAAGGAAGATTATTCTAGTGCTAGGTACTGACTCACTACTAACTACCCTGTGCCCCTGCACCTCAAGGTGGTTGTGAGAGGACGAGTTGATTAGTTATTAACAAGCACAGAAATCTACCAGATTAGGGTAGTAAGCAATAGCTTTTCTGTTTGATCTTTCCTTTTCTTGTTTGAAATTGATAACAGGCTGGGTGGGGTGGCTCACACCTATAATCGCAACACTTTGGTAAGTCAAGGTGGGCAGAACATCTGAGCCCCGGAGTTCCATACCAGCCTGGCCAACATGGTGAAACCCTGTCTCTACAAAAAATATAGCAATTAGCCAGAGGTGATGCCTTGCACCTGTAGTCCCTGGGAGGCTGAAGTGGGAGGAACACTTGAACCCAGGAGGCAGAGGCCAAGATTGTGCCACTGCACTCCAGCCTGGGTGACAGTGTGAGACCCTGTCTCGGGGAAAAAAATAAATTGAAAACCCATCTATCTGTCTCAAACAGAGGAAGAGTTTTGCCATTTTTTAAATCAGCAGGAAAGATCTTAATCGTAGTTATCAGGTGCTGTTGAAAGGGTGTGAGGAGTCCTGTCTCAATGAGTGTGGTTTAGCTAATGGTTGATTCTTTTGTGTTTCTCTTTACAGACTCATTTTTTCAAAATTGTGAAATTTATCATATATGTAAAAGGTTGTATAAAATACACATATAGTTAAAGGAATGATAGTAATACATAACAGCATTCTGTTTCAGAAATAGAATACTGCCTGTACTAGAACATGACAAGCTCCCTATGCGCCCCTTCCCCACTGGCACATATCCTTTTCTTTCCCTCATTCCTGATAATTACTGTTTTGAATGTTGAGTTAATCATTCCTTTGCTTTTTAACTTCTCCATCTGTATACATATTGCTAAATAACTTTTTATTTTTTTTGAATTGGGGGCTTGCTTGTTGCCCCAGCAGGCTAGCAGTGATGCAATTACAGCTCACTGCAGCCCTGACCTCCTAGAGTGAAGCAATCCTCCCACCTCAGCCTCCTGAGTAGCTGAGACTACAGGTGTACACTACCACACCCAGGTAATTTTTAAATTTTTCTGTAGAGCCGAGGTTTTGCCATGTCGCCCAGGCTAGTCTCAAAGTCCTGAACTCAAGCAATCTGCCTGCCTTGGCCCCCAAAGTATTGGGATTACAGGCATGAGCCACCACGCCCAACTTAATACATTTTTTGAAACAGGGTCTTGCTCTGTTGCCCAGGCTGGAATGTAGTGGCGTGATCACTATTCACTGCAGCTTCAGCTTCCTGGCCTGAAGCAGTCCTCCTGCCTCAGTCTTCCAAGTAGCTGGGCCCACAGCTTGTGCCACCACACCCAGCTAATTTCTTATTTTAGTAGAGACAAGGTCTCACTATGTTGCTCAGGCTTGTTTTGCTTTTTTTTTTCAAGCTTTACCTAGGTCTAAATGACATACAATAATTTGCATATAAAGTGTACAATTTGATATTCATATACTTGTGAAACTATAATCACAATCAAGATAAAGTTTTGAGAGCAGTCTTTGACATCTTGTTCTTCAGGAGTATGTCAACTATACTTGGCCCTTTGTTCTTCCATAATAGCATCCTCTGTAACATTTTGTTACCCTTTTGAAATTTTGATTATAATTATATTGAAATAATAGATTAATTTGGGAAGAATTGTTATCTTTACAATATCAAACTCACTTCCTGTTCAGGAATATAACTAAATTTTTTTTTTTTTAGTCTCTGAATAAAGTTTTCTATTTCTCACCATAAAGAGCTTAATATCTTTGTTTAGTTTATCCCTAGGTACTTTATAATTTTTGTAGACAATTTTTTTTTTCTTTTTAAATAACATTTTCTGAGTTTTCTTTGCGGCTCTGGGTTCTTTTTTTTAAAGGCCTGGAAGTAGAATTTGAAATTCGTTTACCATAAGTTATAAAGAGTACCAGATCCACTTATTCAAGGAATTTGTCCATTTCATTCATCAAATTTGTTGGAATGTTTTCTTAGTTTCTCTTTTGCCCATTTCATTGGCTTCTACTAAATTTGGATTTACTTTGCTCTTCTTTCTCTAGCTTCTTCTGATAGAACCTAAAATGTCACTGACATTTTAGTTTTTGTTAGTTTTTCTTTTTTTTTTTTTTTTTTTTTTTTTTTGAGATTCAGTCTCCCTCTTTTGCCCAGGCTGAAGTGAAGTGGCACAATCTTAGCTGACAGCAGCCTCCGCTCCCCAGGTTCAAGCAATTCTCCTGCCTCAGTCTCCTGAATAGCTGGGACTTCAGGCTTGTGCCACTGCACCTGGCTAATTTTTGTATTTTTAGTAGAGATGGCGTTTCACCATGCTAGCCAGGTTGGTCTCAAACTCCTGACTACAAGTGATCCACCCACCTCAGCCTCTCAAACTGCTGGGATTACAGGTGTGAGCGACCCGCCTGGCCTTCTTTGTTAGTTTCTAGCATAAACCTTTAAAGCTTTAACTTTCCCTGTAGCACTGCTTTGGCTGCATCCTACAAATTTTGGTATGTTGTATTTTCATTATCTTTCAGTTGGAAATACTTTCAAAATTTCTTGTTAACTCTATGTCCTTTTTATTGTTCTGAATTTCATTTTAAAGTTAACCGATTGGCATTTACTTAGCTATACCTCTTTGAATTAATAAGGCAATTTCTCTAAGGACTGTTCATATGCATTTTTATTTTTTCACGGTCTCCTTCGAGCTAACATTGTACCACTTCACGTAAAACATAAACACCTTGCACCCCTCCCCCTGTCCTATCCAAATGCATTTTTTATTGACCTAATAGGATCTTATACCTATTCTACTTTTCGTATAATTTTGTGGATAATGACTTAGAAGTCATTAGTTACAGCAAAGCAACAAAGAAGGGAAACTTTTTTTCTTCTTAAAAGGATTTCCTTAAAAAGGAAAACCTACTCACAAACATTCTGCTTATCTTTAAAACTTGTGTGTTTCAGACTAACTGAAGCCTCACAGCAGTGTAGGATAGGGACGTAGTTTAAAATTTTTTATTTAATTGCCAGACCTTTTACATAATCTCATTTGATCCCAAAAACTTTAGGGCAGATTATTGACAGCTAAACAGATAAACACCTCTCTTCTGCTCATCAGATCCATGTAACTTCTCAAGAGTCTACCTTAACCACCTTATTTAAAATTGCAACTCACTCTACATTTTTCCTGACCCTTAATTCCCCTACTTCTTTTCCCCGATAGCATGGTTACTTTCTAATCTATTATATATTGGGCTTACTTATTACTCTTATTGTCTCCCTTTCTAGAAAGTAAGCTCCTTAAAGGTAGGGTTTTGGTTTGCTTTTTGGGTTTTGTCCCCACTCATACTTAAAGTGCCTAGCATGTTAAGTGCTAAGTAAATACTTGTTGCACTAATGAGTGCCCATTATTTCCACTTGGGTGTTCCATAGGCATCTCATATTCCATCCTCCACTGTCATCAGTCATCTATTCAGGTACTCATACCAGAAATATAATTGTATTCTTTCACAATCATGTTCACGCAATTTATTCTTTGAATACATATTTTGAGCATCTGCTACAGACCAGGCAAAATTTCTAGACACGAGTTACAACAATAAGCAAAACAAAAATCCCTGCCCATGACTGTCCAGGGAATCTTATCTTGGGGGAGACAGATAAATAAGTTCATCTATCAGGTGGTGCTGAGGAAAAATAAAAATAAAGCAGGATAAGAGGAATAGGTGGTCAAGATGGGCATCTCTGACAAGACTTGGGCAAAGACCTGAGGCAAGTGAGGGGGCAAATCGT